TTTACAGTTGCAACTGTAAATTAGACGATATTTAAAAAAAAAAAATTCTGACTAATCTACAGTTGCAACTGTAAATTAGTGCGAATAGTTATTCTTGTATCAAGAGCGCAAAATGCTACTTTGGTGATCGAGATCGGGATTATCTCCCCTTTGAGAATAACCGAACGTGCCATAATTCAAACTGATCTAAGTTAGTGGCGGACCGTCAATATTTTTGAGAATATTTCGCCGCTATCTAAAGATAATATCCGATGGACCAGTGTATTAAACTCAAGTGGTCTTAGCAATACAAGTATTCGAATTCACAATATGTTGTGTTTCACACTGGTCCATCGTATATTATCTTTCGACAGGTGTGAAATATTCTCAGAAATATTGACGCCCTGCCACTAACTTAGATCAGCTTGAATCGCGGTACGTTTGTATATTGCAAAGGGGACATTTTCCACTTTCATTTGCATTTTCTTTCAACTTGTTATCACATGATAGAAGTGTGCCCGGAATATAGGAATCAGCAAAAAAATCGCTGTGCCGTTGATTCGACTCAAATTAAGGGGTGCCACAGGTAAAGTTCTGAGATCTACCATTCGACTTGTATCGGATGGCATAATTTTTATCTCGTTAACAAATCGCGAAATTGAATGAAAATTACCGCACAGGAGAGTACAATTTTTCAATCACAGATGTCGTTCGAAAAAATACAACTATTACAAGAGGAAACTTGATACTATCCCTATCTCGTCTCTTCTTTCATAAATGATGAGCAATCAACCAACCTCTCATCTTAGATCAATTATTTACTGGACATAGGACATTTTTGTTCCACCTTTTTTCAAAATTTGACTTTTAACACGGCACACCTTCCATGGACACACCACTGGTATTCTATGTGTGCTCTCTGTGGTGCTGGTTGTACATAAAAGCCTCGGGAGACTCCCACGATATTCCGCTTCTTGTAAATGACATTAGGTACCGACTCTTTCGAGAAATTCTCATGTGTATGGGTACGGTATTATTATTGTGACCGTACCACAGCCATACTTTCCTATACCTAACATAACCTAGCATTTATACAGGATGATACAGAAAAGCACAGGATGGGCGAGTGGACTAACCATGAATTATTGGCATTCAATAACTCCGCTGTGTCGTTAGGGACACAAATAAATTTGTGCGTTATGAGATGTTCGAGATTGTTGAATTTCAGAGCTCATTTCAAACGTCAGTTTTTTTGCTGTTTCGTTGTTGGTCAAATAATCTTTCATTCCCACTCATGAAGAAAGGTTGCCAGGTCACCAATTTTAATCAAGTTATCAAAAAGATGTTATAGTCCTCTCGTTGAATAAAACATAATAGGAGGAACCCATTCTTGATCATTTCGATAGCGAACAGCATGTCCAAATATGTCTTATACTCCATATTCTGATCATAGAAAGTAGGGCCCCTGATTTGGGAACATTTTTATGAAATATTCTGGATTACACCTATCAACCTTCGAACTTCTTGTGGAGTTAACAATGTCACCATCAATGAAAATGCTAAGGTCCATCATCAGTCCAATTCAAAATGTGTATTTGCTTTAGAAAAAGTATATGTATTTACATAGTTGTATGAAATTGGTAGATGAGTATGAAGTATGTAGAGTGTTCTTCAGTATAAACATGTCGCAATTGGACGGTGTAAGTATTTTCATTGCACAGTAAATATACATATTATGTTTTTTGAAGTAGACTGTACGTATACACTATGAAATACACCCAATTGTTTTTCTCGTTGAGAATGACTTAGCATTACTATAACAAAAAACAAAGAGGAAGATAGCAGTTATAGCCACCAAAAAACTATAAAAAACACTGAATTGAAGTTTGCACTAGGAAGATGTGTCACCTGTATATTAAAATGTTCTTCAATCGAAAAATTTAGAAAAATTAGAAATTTCCAGGTCTTTCATCACTATTTTTAAGTCATATTTTGTTTCCCAGATGTCCAGGAATGTTTCTTATTGATTCAGAAACGTCAGCTATTTTGTAGATGATTTAGCGCCAGAAAAGTAAAAAACTTGAAATTTGTAGTTGTCAGTAAACAGAAATAACATGAACAGCACAAGTGTTCCAAGGGATCATAAAAATGACGATAATAACTATTTTATTTACGAGCTCGTTTGTATCCACCAGGTATCCACTAAAATACTCTTTATGTTCTATTGTGATATATCTCAACAACTGACTGGGTGGTATATTACATTAAAAGCGGATTCAATTTTTTTGCAATTCAGACAACCTATCTAGACCTCTAATGCCGTAAGACGCGCTGAAATAATTCCTGATGAGATGCTTCAGGATCGAAAAAAATAAACAAGCGAGGCAGGAATAATAATTGTTGTCTGTACTGTGGTTCATATATTAGTTTTTTGACTACTAACACATATTTATCTCATATTTCATGATATAATGATTTTTTAACGGCAGTCAGATAAGTGACATTTCAAAGGTGAATCAAATTCAGAGCATTTCAGAGAAGATAGATGATGTGAGTTATCTTTATTATTAACTCGTAGGAGTGTATTATTGAACAGTATAGTAAAGAAAAACGATTCCTTGGTCGAAGATTGCATGCATATACATACATGGTGTGTCCTAACTACGGTTCCTAACTGAGAAAAGTTCCTATGAACATATGTCCGGAGTCGATTCTGAGATACAGGCGAGGATACAGGGCGTTGAAATTAAAGAAAAAAAAAGATAGTTATAAAATATCATGAATATCCTGGAACCGATTTGTTTGAAATTTGTTACTTTTATCTGTCGAGTTTTCTAAAATTTCAGCATATCAAGTGTAAATTATATTTTTGGCGGAAATAATGAAAAACTCATTTCTCCAATGCAGGTGTTCATGATATGCAATACAGTGACTTTAATTTTTTTTTCCTCGAAAACGAAGCTGGATATGAAGAAAATACAAAAGACCAAAAAGTTGTATTCTGAGTTGCTTAACCAAAAAATAAAAAATAAAAATGTACCTAAAAAAAATAGTGGCGTATATACTTTTTTTACAATATTGTTGGCTGTGGTGCTCACTGAGACGCCACTGGCCCAATAATTTCAATCTAAATAGGGCTAAATAAGCGCCTTATTAGTTCTTCTAGAATCCAGAGCTACCTAGTAGGTAGTGAATAACATTATTTTATCAACTTCAGGAAAATATTTGAATTAAGTTTGTCGCAAATATGTGCTAGCTCAGATATTGTGATGACTACATTATGAACATTCGAAAAATAGAAGTACTGTCTTTGGTTAGTGAGACTACTGACTAAAATCTATGCTGTTTCGACCTACGTGAAACGTGAGTTCAAGTTGTATGGTAATAAGTAGTCTTGTCTTGCATTTTTACAGACGACTTGAAACTGAAATATTCATTATTGCTCGGATGTTCATTTCCACTAACTTTTTCACAATAGCTTCAAGCTATAGGTAGTATACTCGGTAGTAAAGATACTCATAAGTTATATAACAATCATATAAGGAGAGAAAGAGTCTATCTATAGTCACCACGAGAAAAAGGAAACAAAATTTCACACAACGGTAAGTATGATGATTAAAAATTTACAGTATCCTGTGAATCTATACAACTCCTATAATAATAATAATCATAATGATTATAAAATAAATTTACTAGGCGTACGGTACTGGTACTGATCATGGCCTTTTATACCTCGATATATACAGGCTGTCTTATCTAATAAAACTACAAGGTGCAGTTTCGCCATCTCAATTATATGAGTGGATTGTAGAATGGAAGTATGCTTGTGATATATCGTTGAAATGGTAATTTTATACTGAATCGAAAATTCCGGAAAAAATTTAAATTTGTTCTTGAAATAAAAAAATGAATGTACTTCTGAAATAATACACTCATGCAATCAAATCGATGTAACAAATTTGAAACATCCATTCAATATAAGAACGAAGAAATAGGGGGGAAAATTGGTTCTGGTCACCCCTCGGATCACCCGGTTCAATGGAACTAACGGTATGTACAGGGCGATTCACCATAAATGTCCCCCTCTTCTAGCTCACTTATTTTTGAACCGATTTGAAAATTTGACAAATAATCTAAAATGATTTTTCAGATTTTTTTTCCCGTTGCATCAGGAAATACAGGGTGCTCGGAACAAGCGATCTACAGAGTACTACTTGATTATTTCAAATGTATTTCATTGTATTTTTAAATTCTTCCTGAAGAGCTGAAATCATCAATGCATCACACTTTGGGTCTAGCGGGAATGAATACAGAGATATAGGGTGTTCAAAATCGAGATTTCTCAACTTCAGGATTTTTTGTGTCGAAACATACAGGGTGGTAAGATTCAGAATTCTGATCACCCTGTAACTCTTCCAATTATTGAATGTCAGTAGATAGTGATTCAGAAGTTAAGATATGGACATGAAAGCCGTTTTGACCGACAATGAATAGTTTCGTCACAAAAAAATCCTGAAGTTGAAAAATCTCGATTTTGAACACCCTATATCTCTGTAATCATTCCCGCTAGACACCAAGTGTGATGCATTGATCAAATCAGCTCTTCAGGGAGAATCTAAAAATACAATAAATAATAGGGTGTTCCATTAACAAAAATCAAATAGTACCCTGTAGATCGTTTGTTCCGAGCACCCTGTATTTTCTGATGTAGCGGAAAAAGACTTTATCGAAAATAATTTAAGATAATATTACAAATTTGGAAATCGGTTCGAAAATAACTGAGCTAGAGGGGTGAGGAGGGACATTTATGGTGAATTACCCTGTACAGAAAACTGTTTCGGGAAAATCCTTTTTTTTTATCGCTTGGAACGCACGAATGGAAATCCCTATAATGTTCAGAGAACATCGTGCGTTCCTAGGGAGGATAGGGATAGGAGGTAGGTAGGTTATTGAACCTATATTCAGCGCAAAAATTCGGTGTGTAGAATTCTGGGTGAATGAATGAATATTATTTGTCTCACCTATTTTCGATATCAATTCCCAATTTATTATTATTGCTTTCCACGATGGCCGTCGTTTTGAGTTTATTATTGTCTTCTGCGCCGATTAGCAGCTCAGTTCTTCCATTCTGGAACGGCGATGATCCTCTTCTGTCGCCCAGTATACGACTCACATGCGTTGGACTGTCCAGGGATCTCAGGATATCACCCTGTGAATAAATGAAAAAATGTTGATAAGGAGAAAATCGAAAAAAATCAACGATGCGGCAACGCTGTAACGTGCTTCACAACTCTTTAGGTCATTTGCTTAGTGGCGTCCGAACTGAGGGGATTAACGAAATTAATTTGAATGCAATCTTGTCTACTGCATTTTTGGTAAAAAATTCTTTTGAATTCTGAAAGAGCAACTCAAATTACACAAAACACTCACTTTTACCTAAATAGGTCCAAATTGAAAGAATCTCTGAAATTTACTTGGTAAGATATTATGAAGGAACAATATCGCATTGATTCACTTCAACTACCTCAATAAACCCCACTTGATAGTATACAGGGTAATCCAAATCAAGTGTTGATGGCAACTATTATTATTCAAGATATAACTTTGGTTAACTAGCAAGATTTTTAAAGCTTCTCATGATGGGAAAATGAATAGAACAATTCAGTTCTTATACCGCGTTTTCAAGTTCATATGATAAATATTTTTGCATAAAAACTTCTGCCTTTCATATTTATTTCTAGTCAAAGATAGTCATCTGAACATTTTTGAATATTTAGAGATAACAAAGTTGCTTCCTTAAACTGTGGTACCATCAACTTTTTTTTCTCAAACGCTCTTTACATTTCACGTGGTGAATTGTTTTGAAGGCCTTTCGATTTTCTATCGGCCAAGCTTTTTCAAAATGACAAGCTTCTGAAGTTTACTTCGGAAACAGTAAGCGTTGTGATTTAATTCCGAAACCGATTTTTTCGTGTGAATGAGTGAACATTACAAGATAGATGTATAGAAATCAAATGGTGTTATCTAGATATCGCCTACTTTGTAAAAATAGCGAGGCGTGAGAGAATATTGCTAAATTTCCGAAGTTCCAAACCAAATTAACAGGTATCATGACACATTCATTTGAGTTCACATCTTCATTTTTATAATTTCTTGTGTAAATGGAAACAGTGCGTTATATTTTCGACTTTGAATGGTGAATTCATGAACTGCACGAAGTCCTAACTAAAGAAAACCCTGTAAATAGTTCATTCACTAACTTTTGGTACATTAAAAAAAACGAATGATCGACATTTCAAATGATCCTCACACATTGCAGCAGTCAGTCCATGCTGAAAACACAATACACTCAATCAAATGATATAATATCAATACCTGCTCCAATAAACTACTAATGCTCTTATACATTATCATTCATAATGATTTCTGATGTTCCTTTTTGAAATTTGAACAAAATTCTCCAAGAAATTCTCCATCTTTCACTCCATCTATCATCGAGTATGAAAACCCCACGTTCCAAACTTACATTCAATTATTCATATCGAGAGTAAGTCTGACGAAACATTTGAGGAGTGGGCACACCAGAGAAATTATAAACATATCAATCATTACCACTGGGAACAATGGGCAATTTCTTGGAAAATCTTGATCTTATTATGAAGTTGACCTAAGGGGCCGGTTGCATAAAAGCTCATCAATTATTTGATCACTTCAAATATTTGATGCGACGTTATAAATGGAATTCGATTGCATAAAAGGCCCATCATGTACTTGATGGCATGGTTATTTAATCATCTGATTAACTTATAATAGGGACTATTTAACTGAAAAATCGGTTGCACAAAGGCCAATCAACTTTAGATGTCACATCAAATCGACTTATTCATGGCATCAACTTAATCAGTGCCCGACCACTGATTAAAGTGACAACCAGCAAATTACGTGAGAATTCCGCCAAATTATTTAGAATATTTCGCAGAATTTTTCTTCTTCTTAGTTCTTGTTTCATTTCAAAAAGGTAGAGTAGGAAAATGAACACAATAATGTAAGTGAATGACTATTATAGGTTTTACAGAAAATGTCTCATCTCTGTCTTCACTATCTGAAGAAGAACTACTGATTTTCAAGAACTTTCGAAATAGAAACAATCCGTTCAAAATGTATGATGGCAATGATTTCAATATCCGATTCAGGTTTTCTGTAACTTCTGTCAATCTGAATGTTAATCAAACAAATAATCCTAACCTAAAATGCGTATCAACAATGCGCGGAACGCAAGGATCAGACAGATTTAGCGCTGTTGCCACGCCCTTCTCGTCATTAGTAAATGGATTCATTAATATAACATCACATTGTTTATGCAACGCAAATTACATTTAACAGAACATCAAAGTTATTGTGGCATCAGTTGATCGTATGATTAACTTTTCTTTATGCAACCGGCCCCTGACTTTCAAGCATGGACGTCTTTGAAGGATGTGTTTTTCTTCTTCAGGGACCCGAAGAGTCCCGTTGATGATGCACGAATTCAATAATAGCTGAATAGAAGTGGAATAGAAGCATCATCTAGAGACGGAGCTCAACAAATAATCCATGCGGAAACATCTGATGATCTTGATCCGTTGTTCGTGATTCGACATATCTGTCACGAATGCCACGTTTTTGGCATATTTCAAATTCTTAGTAGTGAAATACAACTGGGAAAGAAAACTTCCCGATTTGCCCGCCATCATGCGTACAAACCGGAATCCCTCACCTGCGCAGCAACTCTGACGTCATTCGCCACCCTGACGTTGTCGACCGCGTTCTGCGCCTGCGCGTCGTGACCGTTGGGCACCTGTTGCTTGCCACCTGTCACGACCAGCGAATCCCTGTCGACGGCGACAACGGAAGTGGTGGTACCGCCCAGCACTACCCCCACTCCTGCTACGCCTGCGCCCTTCGCTGCCCTGTTGTTGTTGGAGTTTTCGGTGGTGGCTGTCAACGAGGTCACGTAGATCGGGGAGGTTTTGATGAAGCCGTTCAGTTCTTCGCCTGAAGTTGTGGTCTGATTCAGCTGAAACGGTTTTTCGACCGTTACTTTGTATACGAGTTGGTCCCCCAAAATGACAACGAAAATATAAGGTTCAGGTAAATTCTTTGAGAAAACAGCATATTTGAAAAATCTTGTTGGCAGTTGCTGTAGGTACTGATTTTCTTCGGTATAGCAAATTTTGTTATACTTATTCCAAGAGAATCTGGCTACGAATGAAGAAAAAAAGTATTTTTTGATCTTTTTAACTGGTAAAAAACATCTTCTGTCGACATTCTCATTGTTTCCTTATTCAGGGTTGCTGGAAATGCTGGAAACCGTCGAATATCTTTATGACTATTCGAAGAAGACACCAGAATATATACTCCTCAAAACTATATATTTTGAAAAAGTATACTCAAATCTCGACTCGAATAGTTGGTGACCTAGAGCTAGAAGCTATGCAATAAATCTATATTTTTCAGTTCATTGAATCAAGTATCAACATTGACAAAACTCTAGACAAAATCAAGTCAGATCCATCGCGAGAGCTGTTTCACAAAAACTCGACCTTTTTATTCGTTGCGAAAAACTATTTTAGACTCGCTTGAACCGCTGATTTTGAAAATCTAAAGGGAGAGTTATCTATCAAATCTGACATCAAATTCTTCTTATATGAGTCTGAACTAGTGTCTATGATTTTTTTGAGAATTTTATCGCAATCAGGAAAAAAATATTTTTCCACCTATATGAGCCTACTGCATTGCTTGAACCGCAGATTTCGAAAATCTAAAGGGAGATTTATCCATCAAATCTGACATCTCTTCATGGGTCTGAAGTAATGTCTATGAATTTTTTGGGATTTTTAGGGCGAGCAGGAAAAAAATATTTTTCCACCTATATATGAGCCTACTGCATTGCTTGAACCGCTGATTTTGAAAATCTAAAGGGAGAGTTATCTATCAAATTTGACATTAAATTCTTCTTATATGAGTCTGAATTAGTGTCTATGAATTTTTTGGGAATTTTAGGGCAATTAGGAAAAAAATATTTTTCCACCTATATGAGCCTACTGCGAGATTTTAGACCTTTCTTATGATATACGAAGCACACAATATCTGGCCAATCGGCCATATATACAGTTTAATCAGTAGTCAAACATATACGCTAGCACATTCTTCTGTTGTCAATCGTGAAATATTTCGAACAACTCTCTACCATAAATCATAACTCGTTTCTTCGAAATGGCAAAGCTTTGAATTTCTTCGCCAAAAAAATCCCAATAACTACCTCATCTGTATTGTATGAGTGATATCTCAGTTATCTTTGGAGAAAGAGTGTTGCGGGTTTACATTACTGCCTTATTACGTTTTTGTTTGTGAGATACAGGGCGAAGTTGAAGATTCTTAATTTTCAACTTATCGGCATATAAGGAATTCAAATGAGCTCACATAAAATCAGAGCGTCCCATTCAAAAAATCATAAGTTTGAGTTATATCTCCAAAACCATACCACGAAAAAAGATTGAGTGGATTCTCTGTTAAATTATCTAGTTATGCAAAATCTGATTAGGCCATCTTGAGTTTCACAAAGTGGCACAGGACCGCGAAAACCGCCAGGTTCTTTCTCCAAAGATAACTGAGATATCACGAAAAACATCGATAACTGGACACACTGAACACACCTACTGAAAAAATACGGGCATACAGTGTGTCCCACTTACCATGCTCACCATGGGTATCTTTTTAACGGTGAGAGATACGAGGTCGGTTAAATGACACCAAATGTGGGGTTTGTCAAAGCCAACTATAATGTGAAAAAATATTTTGATAAAATCTATTCGTTTTTGTTTTATACGCAAAAAACAGATTTTGATCATTTTCATGTCTCCTCCGTAACTTCTTTATTTATGAAAATATTCAAATAGGAATTTCACATTCTCATGGCAGTTTTTCGAGGTGATTTCGAAAAAAATATGAAATTTATACCAACTCTTCTAGAATTTGAGATATTAGCACCAACTTTAGTTTTTCAAATGTAGATCATAGCTCACTATGACTTAGTTACAAATAACTTTTTTTCCCTGACAGATGATATGTCGCAGTAATAGTTTTGTGTTGATAACAACGGAATTATCGTCATTTATACAATAACAAAAACATATTCGGAAGCCGCCATCTTGAATTTATGAATTTTAACAAAAGAATCATAATCTCCGACCTCAAAAACCCCCACTTACCAATTTTGAATGGAATCGGACCAAATCTTGTCCGCCATCTTGGAACAGCCATATTTTTTAATTTCAACAAAAATTCCATAATGTATTGTCACCGGAATTATGAACACCTGCCAAATTTCAAGTTAATCGGAGTTATGGAATTCTTGTTGAAATTTAAAAAAATGGCTGCTCCAAGATGGCGGACAAGATTTGGTCCGATTCCATTCAAAATTGGTGAGTGGGGGTTCTTGAGGTCGGAGATCATGATTCTTTTGTTAAAATTCATAAATTCAAGATGGCGGCTTCCAAATAATTTTTTGTTTTTGTATAAATGACGATAACTCCGTTGTTATCAACACAAAACTATTACTGTGATACATCATCTGTAAGAGAAAAAAAAGTTATTTGTAACTAAGTCATAGTGAGCTATGACCTACATTTGAAAAACTAAAGTTGGTGCTGATATCTCAAATTCTAGAAGAGTTGATATGAATTTCATATTTTTTTCGAAATCACTTTGAAAAACTGCCATGAGGATGTGAAATTCCTATTCGAATATTTTCATAAATAAAGAAGTTACGGAGGAGAAATGAAAATGATCAGAATCTGTTTTTTGCGTATAAAACAAAAACGAATAGATTTTATTGAAATATTTTTTCACATTATAGTTGGCCTTGACAAACTCCACATTTGGTGTCATTTAACCGACCTCGTATCTCTCACCGTTAAAAAGATACCCATGGTGAGCATGGTAAGTGGGACACACTGTATAGTGTCACCCATTCATCGAACATTTCTAAGATTAAGGTATTCCAATATGTATAATAACAGCATTGTCTCCAAACACCACAGTGCTCTATTCATAATAGATTATCTCTGGTTTCTGTCAGTGCCGTTAAAAGCTCGACAAAATAACACCCTCACATGGTAATTGACATTTCGGAAGTCTCTGGGGCCTCCTACTCCTCCTAGGATGGCGCCTATCTCTAGAGGGCAAAAGGGTCTGCATTCAATAGGGCGTGTAACACTGTAACATGATCCCATTTCGGCATTCCAACCTGACTCAACTGTCTCTAAATTGATATTCCAAAGCGCACATATACTACAAAGAGTCAATGACGTCACAACCAGCGTCAGCCAGCGAACATTTGATTGAACAGAAATGATATAGTTATTTGTGTTCCTCAAGTGAAATACTCACTCGGACAATCAATTGACATAACATTGATTTGGCTTTTAACTTCAGATATAAGTTATCATATACTTAGAACAAATTCTTCAGATCGGTTGTGAAATATAGATTTTATAAGGGTTCTAAAATCCCATTTAAATGTAAGTAATTAAGTTAACCGTGTGGCACAGACCGCAATTTTTGACGTATTCAGAAAAGGATTTTACCAGTACTTACGAAGACTGAATTTGTGACTATAAATCTAAGGGGGATAAAAAAAGTTCAAATACTAAAATAGAGAAAAAAAAAGGAATAAATAAGAGTGAGTTGAACCATTCCTTTTCCTTCCTATTCATTCAAAATAAATGACCTGAGTTCAAGAATATTCCATATACAGGTTCGCACAAAAAGTTTTATGACTTTTCAAAAGACTCAAAAGACATGTTGGTGGCGCCACCCCCACGAAAGAGACAAACCAACATAAAATTTGATATTGTCATCGAAAAATACCCCAAGATACCAAACTTCATTCGAATATCACAATTATTTTGAAATTTATTAACAAAAAACGAAAATATGAATTAAACTTTGACACTCTGTATCTCAGAAACGAATAACTTTCGGACATATATTTATACGAACTTTTCTTCTTATTTTGACGTCAGCAACATGCTCCTGAATTCTCTACACGTACTCAAGAAACACCCTGTATATTTGTAGATGGAAAAGTCAATACTTTTGTCTCAACTAACAAAGTGAGGCGAACTATTGGGTGGCTACTATAAGTACTAATTAGCCCAGTGGCCATCACTCATATTTTTTCAGGTTCTATCTGAATCCTAGAAATTTCCCACAAATTTCTGGACACCCTGTATAAATAGCTGTGCTTACTTGTTGTGAGAGTTTGGTCATGTCGACGGGCGTGATCCGTTTGAGAGCGGACAGCCGCTCCAAACGTTCCCTCGCCTGCTGCTCCACGGCGATAACGAAAGCATCCTGAACGTTGCTTGAACACAAATCGAGGTCTACGGCTGAAAAAAAAAGGAAAAATTTTCACTATTTGTGTGCTGAATAATCGGGTTAGGAGATAAATAGATTTGGTGGAGTTAGGGAGAAATCCAGAAAAGTAAGTGATCTGGCAGCAGCGCATCGCTGCGGAAAATCCTTAGAATAGAAACAAGAACGGAAGGATGGTATGTTTATCAGATGCAAAACCTAGGCCTGCTGCCAGAACCGAATTTGTAGGCACATATCCATGGTTACGAGTGGCAATAAGATGGGTTGAACCACAGTTGAGAGAATATTATGTAATATTCTCTCAACTGTGGTTGAACCCTGGTGCACGCACGTACTATTCGAACTACTTTACTTCACTTTTTGGCATTGTTCAGGATTTTAAATTCGATATAAATATTCAGTTTGTTGAAATTGTGTGTATACTTTGTATGAATAAGTGGAATAAGATGACCCAACTACCAATATTTGCATTATACTTCGGTCCGTGCCGAGATCAATCTATTTATATTATAGGACTGTTTTTTTATGACAAAAATTAATCCAGTTTTTGTAATAAGTGCAACCATGTTTCAACAATACATTTTTTCGCGTGTATGCAGGAATGGCGTTCAAGGTCACAAATTTTGAGCCATCAAATTT